TTGGTACTTTAGATTTTGCCACTAAAATATTGAACTCTTCTTTAGCTTGTGGGCTTTTAGTTTCACCATTCCGTCTGATGGAACATCTTGACACTCAAAGACACATTCCAAGGTCCAGAGCCACTTATTTAACTCGCTCGGATTCATGTGGTCGTCGAAATATAACAAATCCACATTTTCTTAAAAAATATGGCTTTTTATATATTTCAGGTCATATCTTCGATGTAAAGGTCCTTCATCCTTGGAATCCACATGGTGGAAGAGATTCAATTTATTCCTTCGATCTAGCACGTTACCGTTGTGGCTACGAGTGACCCATCTGGATTGCCTCCTCTCGAAGATGGAAAACCTCTGTTGTAGTTAGCAGGTTTCCCACTATATATCCTCCCTATAAATCTCTTGGACACCTTTTTGTGAATTTCTCATAAACCGCATGTTGTTCTTTCTGCTCGATCAAGCTTCCGGCCATTATCTTCTTGACGACATGACTAGGTTTTGGGTGTGGGTAGTAGGAAGGCGTATATGGTTGATGTAGGGTGAGAAAAAAAATTAGGTGGAGATAGGATTGGGTATTAGTAGATGCTAAAAACCGCATGTTGTTTTTTCTACTCGATCAAGCTTCCAACGATTATCTTCTTGACGACATGACTAGGTTTTGGGTGTGGGTAGTAGGAAGGCGTATATGGTTGATGTAGGGTGAGAAAAAAATTAGGTGGAGATAGGATTGGATATTAGTAGATGCTAAAAATCCTAGGATAGGTAGAGGGTTAGACCATCTCTGATATTAGATGATACCGGAGTTAGCCCAAATAACAACTAGAAAAATAATTATTACTGCTAAAAGCAAATAGACGGTTACAATCAAATACACTTGAATGGGAAAATACAACACACATAACATGCAAAATCATATTAGGGCGGATCTTGGTTGATGTTTACTGGGCTTGGAGAGGTGGTAGCAAGGTAAGGAGGGGATTTTCAGACTATGGATGAGGGCCGTCAACGATTATGGGTGGCTGGAACAGCAGTGCAGCAACAAACGACATTCCAACCATCAACAAATTGCTGTTTGGGACGGCAAGGTTGCAGGAAAACATGAAAGGGAAGGCGTTGCGGCTGCGACAACGTTGGTGGAGTGCGGGGAAAGTGAGGGTAGTGAGGCGGGAGGGCGGAAATTGTGATGAGAGCTGGTATGAGGTGGCGCGAAGGCTGTGAGCTGTTGTAAACAATAAGAGGGAGTGCCGACGACTGATTTAGAAGGACAGTAGGGAATGTGGAATGGAGGTGGCGGGACAGCGATGATAATAAGGGGGAGCTCTGGAATCGTAGGAAACGCGGGTTGGAATGCAGAAATTGTAGGAAGAATAGCGTCGGCAACTTTTTCAGGTGGCTGTAATAGAGAATGGCGGCAGGAGGATGCAGAAGGGGAATAGAGAAGATAAAGACCACCTTGGGAGAGGAATACAGCCGGAGCGCCACCCAAACCGTCGAATACAACCCTCGAAAGGAGAAAACGGATGCTGACGATTGTCCTAAACAAACTCACGCCAAAACTATGAATCTAAACCCTAACACATACATATATAAGAAATGACTAAAAAGGATGAAGGATAATATAAAAGAAATCATAAAAGGAAGGAAAATGTGGGTATTGAGGTGTTTTTTTCATGAGATGAGTCATCAACATCGAGACATTTGAGATATAAATCTCAAAATAAAATCCTTATTTAAATTTAAAATATGAGAATTAAAGCATTTATTAGCAATAGTTTAAATTATAACATAATATCGTAAAAAGTCATATAAGCACTCAATAATAAACAAAAAAAAGTTAAGATAAACTAGTAATGATAAACATGTAGTCTAAAATAATCATATCCCAAAATAATCAATTTTTATATAGGACTCGGAATTGAAGAACTTACATTCTAATCACTCTGAAGCTTTTCATTAGAAAATCATTGTAGTTAATTGCTTTTTTGCATCCCTAGTCCTCACTTAGATCAACATCATCCTAGTTTTCATCATCATATTTAACCTCAATCACATTTCTCTTTCCTAATCAATAAAATTGAATAAGAATATTATTTAAATGACTATATTGATATTTTGTTTGTTTGTCATATATAAAGTTTTATATCGACTTTCTTTGTTGCCTTTTTGTTGACTTTCGTTATTCTTCGTTATTCTTATTCCTCCTTTTGTAAAAAAAAAAATCAACACTACTTTTTGTTACATTTTTATTGACTTTTATTGCTCTTGTTTTGCCCTCCAAGTTGTACACTTCTTTAAAAATGTCTTAGGGGGTGTTCACAATGTGAAGCTACAACCTTGTTCTTGTTTGAGGCGTACATTTGTTTTGTCTCATGTGAAGCTACAACCTCTTCGCACTTTACATGCACCTCTTTTTGAGGCATGCCTCAAGGCGCAAGATGTATTGCACAATATTAAACCAATTTTTTAACTTGTAGTAAACCAGCACTATGTACAGGATGCATTAAAATTTGTATTTTTAAGGGTAAAGTATATATCTATTATATGTAAGTATGAATGTATGATGCATGTTTTGAAAATTTAGAAGCATACAATTTTATGTAGGTATTGCATATGGGCTGTACACTAGCGTGCCCAAGCTAAAAAAGATGAACAAAGAAGTCTTAAGTTGATCATAGGCTAATGTAGAAATGATAACCAGCAATGGATGCCACTTATTGTTGCTTGTGTTATCACAACTTCATGATAATAGCGGAAAATCATATAAATTTATGATTTATACAAAAACACAGTTACACATTACAAAAGGAAAGAAGATTTAGTTTAATATAAGAAAATTTAATAGGAGTATGAAATATATAGAAAATTCGAGAAATTACACTATCATGGAAGCACAAAATCCAAATAAAGTACATATTAACAAATTAACTGTACCTCATCAAGATGTCTTCATGGCCTTCAATCCCATATCCGAACTTCAATTCTGTGAAATACTGGAATCATAGGCTGTATTATTTTTTAGTAGGTACTAAAAGTGTCATTCAATCTTCTTTTTCATTTAGTATTTTTTAATCAGATTCAACTAAATGACCCAACATTTTTTATTGCTTGGAAAATATTGAGAAGCTATTTGATAGATGGAATATAAGTATAGCAATCACATTCAATAAAAAAGAATATAAATAACATAATTATCTTCATTTGATGCTTGCATATAAATTTTTTTTAATAACTTCATATCAATTCGATTTAAATTACGCTGTTAACCCATTACCCTACTCTAAATATCTTTGTAAGAGTTGAAATTGATGATATTATATAGCCCTTGTATTGTAATAGACTTGTTAGAACATGTTTATATATTTAAATCTTACACACATATGTAGTAACTTGGTAAGAATAATGTTTAGATCTAAAATCTCAAAAATATATCAGGTGTGTTGATGTCTTGAGGATTAATCATGTGCTGCCCAATGGTCAACATCAAAAGAGGATACTGGAAGCAAGGCTGCACTATTTTGAGTCTCCATTTTTGAAAGGAAGACAACCACTAAAATCATTGGAAAGGTTGCCGGGTGCTTGTTAGTGCTGTTGTGACCTACTGAAATGATCAATGGCTGCATCAGCAGCGGAGCCACTATCCCTGCATTCTCTATCCAATCATTCCAATGAGGACAAATCCCTTCACTACACTATCACCAAACTCCATTATCAGCCTCTACCCTCACTTACAACCACAACTGACAATCTTTTTAGCCCTAACAACCACCTTTCGATCTACTATGGCTTTTTACTCTCCTTTCTCTCTTTACATCTTCTGGTATTAGGGGAATGGTTTTGTGTTAGAAGGAGGTCGAGTGAGTGGCTCAGTTGTGCATCTGCTCTCTCTCTCTCTCTCCATCTCTCCTCTTTTCTCATCGTGAATATTATTATCTATTTCAGATTTAAGGGGCTCATGACTTCTCTGACAAAATTCTCGGGGATGGTGTTTACAGAAGCTTTTAGCCAGAGAATTCATTCGTAAACTTTCTCTGAATAGAGTAATCACGCATGTATAAAAATCAGATGAACTTGTAATCCTCTTCTAAATTACTGTATTAAAAGCCAATATGATCATTGATCCTTAGAGATTCCCTCATCACTCTTTGTGATACTATTTTCCAATTTGTCCTCTCCACTTCCATTTAGCATCTTTAAAATTTTTACAGTTTTACCTCAACTTCCACCTAGCTGCTTCAAATATTCACGGAAGCTCTATGCCTGTAATCCAATTTTTCTTTAAGAATCTTATTGCTATAAAGTATTCACTCAAATGTAATGGTGCGTTTGGGGCGACAGTGCGGTGGCTTTGCAGTGCCGCATCGTAGTTTTTTCTGTTTGACAAAACTTCATTTTGCCTACATTCTCAGAAAGCTGCAACTGAAAGCCGTGTTTTCCCACGAGACCTGGTTATCTGCGGTGGCTGCTAGAAAGCTGCCGTCTCACTTCTTCCAAAAAAAAAAAGCAACTTTTTAAACGTCAGTTTCTTCTTCTGCAACTTCACACCTGCTTGTTCTAACAATAGCAGCTGCCCCAAACATACTTTAAATTAGAACAATAATTTTTTTGGATGATATAGATTGTTTGGTTTTTTTCTGGTCTGAGGTTTTGTTGCGATGGATGCTAGCTTTAAAATTTCTGCACGTTGTTGCTGTTTACGTTGGGATTGCCTGACCGTACAGAAATGATTGGTAGAATCTAATATGCTTGCTAGGCAAGTTGTGCACAGGTACACACAATTTTACTTGAGCAATATGCACCCTTTTAAGTAAATAAATCTGCATAAATATTGGATTTCACACCTAATTCTGAAAAACCATAGGCGCATAGCCCAAAATAATTTTTGGCAATTTACCCTTTAGTATCCTTGCATATGCTTATACCCTTATGAAGTCCTACACGCTAACTTGAATTTGATTGCGTGAATACTGGAGTTTTACTTTGCCTTCCATTTCTTTATCTTGCAGCCCCTTATATCAGGTGCTGCGCTTGGCTTGGAAGGCCAGGTATATTTTCTTAATTTGTTGTAATATGTTGTTTTATCTGAATGCTTTTCATTCTATGCTTATAGGGTATGCAATATGCCTGATTTCAGATACTTCTGGCTTAGGAGGGTTGAATTTTTCTGAATTAAGAATAGCAGCTGAGCAACATAACTTGTTCTATGCAGCTCACCGTTTATCATCACAATGGTGGCCCATGTTATAGATGCCTTTTTCCAACACCGCCTCCTACAGCGGCATGCCAAAGGTGTTCCGACAGTGGTGTCCTTGGGGTAGGTGAGTAGATGTTTAGCCTCTAATGATTCATACTTATAAACAAAAATGAGTTGATAGATTTACTATTGCATAAAATATCTCTTAATCAATGTTCTTTATGAGTTTACTTTTTTTCATCTTTTTTTTACCCTTAAACCCAACTTCATATTTTTGTGACTTGCATGTTTGTCCCAAGTTTGCACCAATTGAAGTTAGTTTCACTCACTTGCTAGAAGACTTGCATGTCACTTAGTATTTGATCTTTTTGGGTGGAAAAAGCTTTATTGTTTTGTTAGGCGTGGTTATGTGTGGTTTCAACAGCATAGCGCTAGCCAACCAATCATGAATAAATGTGACACTAACAAGTTAGAACTCAACAAGTATCGTTAAGGTTTAGATGTTTTGGTAAATTATTTGTACAAGGAGCCGAATGGCTAATGTTGTAGACATGTTTTTTCTTTTAATTTTGCAGAAATCATTTTGTAGTAATCATTTGGAGTTTTTCTATAAACCGTCGTGTCATGTTTTCATTAACTTTGCAAAGCATATAATAGAAGAAACTTGGGAATGACTCAGAGGAAACTTAGATTTACTTCTTGTCTCATTTGTCATTTTGTTGGGTAGAAATCATTCAAAGAGGCACGTGGAATTTTGAATTTAGAAAATACATAAGAAGCAGCACACTACTGTTAGTTTTCTTTCAAAAATTAAATGTTGGAAATTTTCATAAAAATTTTCATAAAAAATCTGAAATATTAGGACTTGTTTGGGATTAATTTCGCTTTTTTATTTTTGTTTTTGTTTCTAAAACATGTTTGTTTTATGTGTTGGTAACGTTTATTTTTTTACTTTTGATTTCTAAAAACAAATTAACATGCTTTTGAAAACTTTAAAAATAATTTTTAAGTATTTTGATTGTTTATAAAAACAATAATATCCTAATCAAGTATGTCAAACATGTTTTATTTTAACTGAAAATATAAATAAATTAAAATAAAATTAAAAAATAGAAAATAAAAATCTAGAGTGATCCTAAACGGCCCCTTAATATTTCTAGCATTAAATTCACATGAGAATGAAGAATGAGTCTTACATTGAACATAAAATAAATAAAACAAAATAAAAATAAAAAATAGAAAATAAAAATCTAGAGGATCCTAAACGGCCCCTTAATATTTCTAGCATTAAATTCACATGAGAATGAAGAATGGTCTTACATTGAACATAAAATAAGATTTGCCATTGGCTTAAGCATTTGAGCTTATGAACATCTTTTCATTAATCCATTGGTTTTAAGTAGGGTGGGTTCATGGTGTCTCACCCTCATAATACGTGGCATTAGAGATGATAGTTTGGCTATTATCATGTGTTTCTCATAGTTTATGTCTCTTATCTGTTTTGTTGGCTTCTATTATGCTGAAAATAGGTTTAAACGCTAGTGATTCTTAGATAAATTTTATGTGGTCGAGAAGGCTATTCTTGTAAGACACTTTTTATCATTAAAAGATTAAGCTGAGGGGGAGTGATGTCGATGTGAAAGACTCTCATTTGAGGTAGAGAGATTGTGAAGATCACCATGAGAGTAAAGAATAGGGCCACAGTAAATGTAAAATAAAAGTTGAGTTTTTTATATACTAGTAGTGATCCTTACTAGTTTAAGATTGTGTTGAAGGACATCTATTTGCTATTTTATTGGGCTGAATTTGGCCCATGATGTTTCTCCCCATATTATATTGAAGTTCAAGTGATACATAAGTGTGATAAATTTGGATATCTTGGGTATAATTTATATAAAAATGGTTATGTATACATATTTAACTTTGTAAGTCAAATTTGAGTGGTTAAAATGAAGAAGGGCCTTAGTGGTATTATATGATAATATAAGATTGAAAGTTAAATTTATAGAGTTGTAATTAGATGGTTATGTAACATGAGCCCTAGTGTTGGGTGATAAAGAAACATCGATAGCTAAGTTGTGTTTGTCATAGATGAAACTGTTAAGATGAATGATGAAAAAATTAGAAACAATAGATTGTAAAATGATTTATAAGGAGAGAATATGCAAATAACACTTATTAAAGATAAGATAGTAGGAAGAAAATTTAAATGGGTTGTGAATGTTTAATGGAGTGTAGAAGATGCATCTATGAGATTGGTAGACAAAATTAATGCGAAGTGATTAGGAAGAAAAATAGATAGATTAAATTAACATGTAGAAGTTATGCAAAAAGAATTAAGACATAAAATAACATTCAACATGAATGACTAAAGAATGAAGCATTGTAATGATAACCATTCATAGATACGGCTAATAATGATGATATTTATTGTAAGTGTATGCTATCTATCCTTTGGAGCTCATAAATGTTTGTTGTGATAGTCATTTATCCCGATCTTTCTCTTAAAGTATCGTAGCATACCTGATAGTCTGATATACTTGTAGCATGTAGAAAATGGGAATTTGGCTAAAATTGTTACGTTGGCTTACTCTTCCTATGTGGTTTGAACCTCTTTATATGAAACTTAGCTGGGTGATTTGAATAGTCCAACTAGTTCTTCAAGAGCTTCATATTTCATTAGAGGTTCTTTTGGGTGAATGTTTTTTTTTTTTTAATTATTTTTATTCGAAGTAGAGTTTTGAAATGCTATTTCTGAAAAAAAGTCATATTGTTGATTGAAAAGGCATTTTTCTATTGTTTTCATGAGGTTGCAGCTACAATTGATGGTTGATTATATACATAAAATCATCCTAGAATCAAGTTATGCAAATGATCTTTGCAATGTTAATAAATCTGTTAAAAACATATTTTTAATAATTAATGAACATGAACAGGACATAATGTTGGGAAGTGGCTAATTACCCATCAAAGATACCTTATATTGTGGTCACAAAGGATTTGTTCCTTTGAATAAGTGGAGTATCAAAGTTTATTTGCATTTCTTTATTGCTTCTATCTAAGCTAAATCAAGTATTTGAAAATAGGTTGAATATTTTGTTAGTTAAATGCATTCATTCTTTTTCTTTTTATGATATGGCTGGTTGTTGACATTGTGAGAATTAATGCATTTTTATGTTTGATAAACACTATCATATGAAGAGATGTGGGAGATAATGGGGCTAAGTGGTTGCCGTAAGTTTTAATAAAATCATATGGACTAGGAAGGCGTCGAATAATTAACAATAACATATTTATACTACTTTTTTAAAACAAGGGAAATGCTAAAGAATGTGGTGATCATATGGGACTCACGTTTATGTGTCATATAATAAAGCAATGGTATAGGTAATACCGTTCTAGGGCTCTTAGAAGGTGTTTAGAAAATAGGTTTTACAGGGAGGTAGTTGTGGAATGGTTTGAGAAGGAGGATAGGAGCGGTCTACAGTGTTTGGAAGGGGGATAAGTGACATAATTTGTTGTTGTACAAAAAATTTGAGTTATTCGGCGGTTATCCCTGTTGAAAACAACGAGGCAGATGTCGAACTAGCACATTACGTGCTGCAAAGAGGTTCACCATCTGTTCGTGAAGAAGATATTGACACTCCTCTTGCAAAAGGAAGATGATACGACACAACTAAAGCAGGAAATCAGAGATAATTTCCATAATACTTGAATCAAAGCAAAAGTCTGAAAAAAAGGAAATAACAATATATAAATAGTTCCCTCATAGAAAATAACCTAATTAGAAATAGATAAATATGAAAAAAAATAGAAAATGAAAAAATCAGCTGAAATTGATTTGAGATTGTATCCCGGGTGAGATTTCCTCCTATGATTGTGGACGATTCTGCGATCCCGTGAGAATGCGGCTTCGGCAACCGCATCACTCTCATAGGGAAGGAGGAGTTTAGTCTTATTCTCGGGAAGTTTTTGGAATTAATCTACAATCATCATAATAAAGTCATTATCTTGTTGTGTTTGAGTCAATTCCATTATAAAATTTATGCGGACATCTATTTTATACAACTATAAAACACATACACCATTCTAAAGTATATTCTGATAGAATAAATAACCATTATTCTTTGGCATAATTAGAACTGGAGTTATATCCGGGCTTAGTACTCTAACAAATCAAACCTCTAATCATCAAGTTTGTAAAATGTTTTGCAACTTTTCATACTCGATTGGTCGTATCCCATAAGCGAGCGGGTTTGGCAAAAAGAATCTTATAATGAAGTCTATGTCATACTGAATCTCTCTTGATGGTAGCACCCACACGATAAATTATCAGTCAGAACATCCGATAATTCCCTCAATAAGGGTTGGCTCTTTTTTGGCGACTAATTGGACTCACTATCTTTCAGGACAACCAATGTTAGTCCTATTTGAGCCTCTCTCAAGGGCTCAATATGGATCACTAACATCTGATTCTGACATTTTTCTTTCCCCTGTATTACTGTCTATTTCTTCAACTGCTCTATGCTCAGTGAAAGAGATCACCCTTTTGTTTGGACAATCAGACACATTGTGCTTAAAATTATGGCACTTGAAGCACTGCTTGACTGTGATGGATTTGGGAGTGCTTGTGGGCTCCACCTTTAGTCTATTCTGTGTGTGTTTTTCCTCAGGAGGGGTTGGCTTGGGTGCTCCACTGGGTGCACCCTTATTGCTTGATATTGTGGTCGAAATTTGTCTGTAAGGCGTGGTAGTTGTCGGCGCTTAAAGGGGGAAAGTTAAAAATTGGTGGGTGATTTGTTCAAAAGTTGTCTGTAAGAAGCTGTCGGTCGCTGGAAGTGAAGTCCCGTCACCCGCTTCGGAAGGACGTTTTAATTTACATATATATATATATATATATATATATAATTTTAGAAAAATATGAAATCAAACTGACCTCATATTTTTCACAGTTTAAATGAAAGTGCACTCTACCTCAAATCCTGTATCTATCCCGAGGGATAAACATAAGACTTGAGGATTAGGCTCGATCAAATAAACTAAGAAATATATGACATCCGTTTGATCTGCGAAACCGTTTTATTTGCCGATAAGTTCCCCTATTTAATACAAAGAATTAAATAG